CGAATTTCAACAGAAAACCAGTCTCAAACTTCAAATCATGAAGGAAGTCGGGCGACCACATTAGGATTTATATTATGTGTGCTTCGCTGTCGCCATTGGCATCGTTATAAATAAATTGTCTCACTTATCAGATCGTGTGTGCAATTCTTGTTGGCGGCGGAAAGTACGAAATTGATTTCATTTGGTAAAGAACTCTACAAAAGAAGAGAGCGTTCCGAGTCCAGATCGTTTCGTTTCAAACGGCAATTTAATACCGCCTTCTGTTTCGCTTCTGTCTGCGAAGCCTTGTAAATCGCAAAGTGTTTCGAATAGGCTTACAGTTCTTACATGCAACTGCATCTCAACATCAACCAAAAGATAATTTTCTTGAGGAAGTGAGAACACATAACGTATCAACTGAAGTCTGTTTGAAATTAATGAAACTCAAGTAAAGGTTACTATAGTTTACCCCAGTCGTAATGTTGCTATTCCAACACCTCACGACAAGCAATCCCCATTGGCATAACGCAAAAACATGTCTTCCTTCAAGTAAACAATAAACAGTCTGTTCTTGTTCCATTTGTAATCGAAAAAAGTGATCAATTTTCACATTTTAAGCTTATCGATAGCCTTTGTCTATGCCTTTGTGATGAATCACTGTTCCCTTGTGCCTGCACAATGGGCTAGGTTAATTAATTACCGATCGCCTCAGCTAGCCAATGGGAATTTAGCCGGCGGTTCGGCCGGCGAAAATCGAAAACATGGGGCGATGGTTGCAGGCCCACTATCAAGTTCCCTTGGGCCTGCACGCAGGCTATGCTGAATATTGAAACATTACACTTAATTTTGAAGCTTGGATCAATGGTCTTGGTAAAATTAAAAAACAGATCATGTAATTGCACTCTCCCCTTGACTAGTAAAATTGTCTGGCATCAGCCTAGACCTAGGCCTTCTATTTTTATTGATATTTTTTTAATATTCAGCGCTTTTTCACATGAAAAGACTGGGACTAGGTGATTTGGGGGCGGGGCGGAGGAAGGATACAAGCCTGACGCAAGCGAAAAAATAGAAGGCCTAGTGGATTTCCCAACAACAAGGCCAAAACTGCCCTGAAACTGCCCTGATTGCGAAATGCCCAATTGTTGCGTTCTCAAACAGAATTATTTGCGACTTAACAGCGAATTTAAACCGATACAGGTAAAATAAACTCATTTATAGTATAACTTACTATTTTTATTTGTATACACGTCTAGAAAATCGGGGTTTTATCATAAAGTTTGAAGCAACACTATTATTATGTTGACAAGGTGAAGCGAAAGCACAAAATAATAATTCTTTTATTCGCAAGACAATCTACTGTTTTGCTTTGAATAACTATATTTGGGAATGAGGAATTTGAAATTATTGTTCAAATATTACGGATATACCATTTGTAAACAATGTACGTTTTTATATACAGTACTGTACGGGCTAATAATATATGTATCCGTTTTATTTAATAAATTATAATTGTATATGTGTTTGTATATTTTACAAACACAAGACTGCTTCTTGCCAAAATTGAGAAAATATATATTAATGTAGTTGTGTATAAGACAAAATTTCATGAAAGATTCTACTTTTGGTATATATTTTGACTCATTTTGTGCTTTCGCTACACCTTGTCAAGTAAATGTCAACATATTAAATAATAGTGTTGCTTCGAACTTTATGATAAAAACCCCGATTTTCTAGACGTGTATACAAATAAAAATAGTAAGTTTATACTATAAATGAGTTTATTTTACCTGTATCGGTTTAAATTCGCCGTTAAGTTGCAAGTAATTCTGTTTGAGAACGCAATAATTGGGCATTTCGCAACCAGGGCAGTTTCAGGGCAGTTTTGGCCATGTTGTTGGGAAATCAACTAGGCCTTCTAGGCTTGGTTCCTCCGCCCCGCCCCCAAATCACCTAGTCCCAGTCTTTTCATGTGAAAAAGCGCTGAATATGAAAAAATATAAATAAGACTAGAAGGCCTAGGTCTAGGCTGGTCTGGCATTAGGTAGATTAAAATAATACAGTAAAGCATATCAAGACACATTGCCACTTGTGAAGGGTTAACATATGTGTATATGATATTTGTGTGATGTAAAGATGTATAATGTATCATGATAATAATGTCATCTTTTATTTTGCAGAAACTATATGTTTAATATACACAAGAGATGGCACTGAGGCATCAACATGTAGAAAAACATGCAGAACAACAAAATAAATTAGTTAATTATAATACCATGCATAACAACATAAATAATTATATGATTATGATAACTTTAATGAAGTGTAAATAAGTTTTATAGCAATTAAAATTATACATTTTTGTTTTTTAAATTGTTTACTGCTAGTAATTTTACAAAAAAGTCAAATACACTCTTCGGGAATGTATTTCGATCACCTTGGCTATGGAGCCTCATTTTCATGTATGTGGCATGAGTTAAAGTCCAATGTCTCAATTGTGAAAATGAATCTCCATAGCCAAGGTGACATAATTTCTGGAAGCATGTATTAAAATACAGTATGTTCAGTTTCCAAAGATGTGTGGCTTGGTACTGTAACTTGCCTTGTAGATTAATTATGTAGGTTGTACAAAAATCCACCAGTAACATAATTAGCATATGATCAAGGTAAACAAAAGAATGTGACCTAACTCCTCAGCTTAAACCAGGGGTATCAGAACTATGAGTGCACTTGTAAAGGTACATTGTTCATTCAGAGTGATATTTACTGAGAAAACTTCTAAGAAAACAGGCCATCCTGGAAATGAGGTGCGATCACACATGTATGCCTTGGCACACACCTCAGCTAAACCTTGTTACCTCAGCTTAGGGAAAAGTGTGATTTATCTCAGCCTCTATATTACTATTTATATATTGACACAAAAATCAAGAAGTATCGGCCCCAAACATGCAGAAAGCTAGGTAGAAACTACCTTCCCAGATCAGTTTCCAGCACCCACAGCTAAGTGGTACATATTACAAAACCTAATTCCCTCTTTCAGTATGAAAGATAGTCTGACTGGCACATGATCATAGTTTATGTCTGATTGTCTGTTTATAAAACGAGACCTCAGGAGTCAACCTTTTATAAAACATTACACTAGACAGTTCCAGTTCGCACTTTAGTTTCAAGACCGTCGTAATCCTTGTATATGTGACTGAATACGATCAATTCAGTTTGTAACCAAATATTTTGCGATTGTGAATCAAGCTGCACAGCTTGCTAAAATAGTGGGAAATTTTACACTTTACCATGTGTATTGCATAGGAAGTTGTTTTATTAACAAATAGAGTGTCATGATGCTTGTGATGTTACTCTGAGCATATCCACACCGGGCGAGCTTGAAAAATATGCCCAGCCACGGTGGGAATCGAACCTACGACCTTTGGAATACTAGCCCAATGCTCTGCCAACTGAGCTACGCGGTCAGGACGGTTCGAGTAAGTGATATTTCGGAACAGAATCTAGTTCCTTCGATACCATGCAATTACTCGTTCCTTCGATACCAATTACTCGATACCAATATCTAGTTCCTTCGATACCAATTACTCGAACCGTCCTGACCGCGTAGCTCAGTTGGCAGAGCATTGGGCT